TTTTATCTTACATATTGTGCCAATTATGACTAATTATTCCATTTGGAGGCAGATATGCTGATAGAACTAAACAAGTCCTTATTTCTGTTATAAGCTTGAACTAGCACTTCTAAGTATATAAAAAATTAATCTCTAATTTAACTGACTTAGGTATCTTCATTGTTCTGATGTGGGGTTTACCTTGTTAAGCACTTAAAAATTGTTATCTAGGCATTAGGGTTGACTTGGGCTCTTGTGATCAGACAGCCAAAATATGAAAAATATCAGCAAAACAAAAGAATTTAGGTGTGGAAAGAACCCCACAGATTATATCATTCCAGTGATTCTCAGCAGTCACAGAGAGATCTCTAAACCCACATATTCTGAGGCCCTGCCCTATTGAACGAAGTCTCTGTGGGTTCAGTTAGGAAATCTATATTTCAAAAGCTTCTCTAGTTGATTCCCATGCGTAGGTTGGTTTGCGAACAAACGATATCATTTAACTCTCTAGATTTTAAGGTAGAGAAAAATGAGGCCCCAGGAGGTAAAGGGAGTTAACCACAGTGGGTACTTCTCTGGAGTCAATAAACTATCTCACAACTTTGTTATTCTGGAAAGAAAGACCACATCCCCTAGAAAGCAAACAAACCAAAATACTAAAGAGGAAGGGAAGGAGGGAGGGAGAGAGGGAGGAAGAATGGGGAGGGGAAAAGACAAAATTCAGTCTTGTTAAAGTCGGTAGAGTAAAAAAAAAAATGTTAAACTAGTGTGGAATCTACAAGGTACCAACAACTGGTTTGGTACAAGTTTTCTACTAGAGAAAGTTTTCAACTACATAGTTGGTTCTGAAGCTACAAGTTTATATCAATTCTTGCTTCTCTTCACAAATGATTATGGACAGGGGCGCCCGGGTGGCTCAGTCGGGCTTCTGCCTGTGGCTCGGGTCGTGATCCCTCGGTCCCGGGATCGAGCCCCGCATCGGGCTCCCTGCTCCGCGGGAGGCCTGCTTCTCCGTCTACCACTCCCCCTGCTTGTGTTCCCTCTCTCGCTGTGTCTCTCTCTGTCAAATAAATAAATAAAACCTTAAAAAAAAAACAACAGATGATTATGGACAGTAATACAGAAAATCTTATACCAAAGGCAATTAGAAAATGATTTATATTTATGTCTCTTTGAAGACTTTATGTGGATGTAACCAACATACTGAACACATGGGACTCATGAGGTATAAACATACAGCAACTTTATTTTGGTCTCCCTTTTGTTCCCTTTAAGTTTTGTAGGTCGAGCAAGTTATTCCTCTGTCGCCCGAAAACTCAGGCAGGTCCTGTGACTTTTGTGGTCATTCTTAGGTAAGACAAAACGCCCCATTCAGAATTAAAATGCCAGTGTCCATGTAATAATCAAGAGGGGTAACTGGGTTTGAAGCTAAGTTTCCCCCCAGCACTCTTAGCCAGAGCAGGCTGCGTGGGATAGTCTTTAATGGGGAAAAGGGGGACTCACCAGCCCTCTTCTATCACGTCTCTCCCTACTTTCCATCTTGCTAAGGTGCCTCCTGGGTTGGAGCATGCCCAGGGAGAAGAGGAAAGGGAGCAGGAAAATTCTTAAGGTACAGATGCTGCCATGATGTTTCAGTTCGATGATTCAATTCAATTTCAAGCCTTCTCTGGGCTCGAAAATAAACCAAATTCCCCCAAGAATGTGTTTGTAAGTTCCTTGGACATCTCCCACTCCTACCCCTCTGTTATCACTGAGAATCTCTTCTCTCTGTTCTGGGCGGGGCCTCCTAGACAGTCCCTAAGCCATTGCCTATCCTGCTTGTGTCAGATACTTACGTATGAAGGTTATTCCTTGCATGCATGCATTTGCCTCCCGCAGAACCCGTATTTTTTTTTTTATGAAAGATTTTTCTTTCTTTATTTATTTGACAGAGAGAGACACAGCGAGAGAGGGAACCCAAGCAGGGGGAGTGGGAGAGGGAGAAGCAGGCCTCCCGCGGAGCAGGGAGCCCGATGTGGGGCTCGATCCCAGGGCCCTGGGATCATGACATGAGCCGAAGGCAGACGCTGAACGACTGAGCCCCCCGGGCGCCCCCGAACCCTTACTTGAACACATTTTAGGGGTCTATGTTTATTGTCTTGTAGTGAAGTCATGTGAACAATAGTAAGACTTTTTCAAGTTTATGCTCTAATTTAAACCTTATTCTACAGCAAGTAGTGGTATATTGAGCTTCTAGACTATTTCAGAATTGTCTAACATTCTGGAAATGACAAAACTTACCCCAAATATTAGATCAGTTTCTGAAACAATCTGGGGAAAATCTTTCCCTTCTCAAACACACTCTAAATTATTGTTTACTCATGGGAGACATCATTACCTTTCAAGGAAGGTAACCCTCACCAAACATACAGATTGTTTTCTAAGGGCAGTAATTTCTAATCTAGCCCTTCTCGGCTAAGTGAATAAAAAATTCAGAAGATTGGCCATTTTGCTGCCAGTGATGCCCAAATCGGCCTGAGCACTGGAATCATATGAGGAAAGTTTTAGACACAGAGACTCAGCAGCTTCACTACAAACCTACTGAATCAGGATCTGCATAGCTAGGTTCCAGGAAATCTAAAGTTCTAAGACTCTCCTAGGTCATTCTGATAAACTGCTTAAAGCAAAATCCTTCTGGGGGACTGGAATATCTGCGAGTATATTCACCAAACTCCTACAGTGTTCCACTTTCAAATCTTTTCTTCCATTGCCTATTGAACATTAAAATAAAGGTCATTGAGAGAAAGTCAACTCAGCAACTAGTCAAAGTAAAGTCATACTCCCCCATCTGAAAAATTCACACCCAAAAATCCGGAAACTTGAAAGAAGGAATGGAAATAAATGTCATATGTAACTTTTATCCTCCTTAATCATTCTGATTTCAGAGTTCATCTTTGTTACTTTCTTCTTTTAAACTGCTATAAGCCAGTAGTGTTTGAAGAAAGTATTCATTATAGTCAAATTTTATTCTAACAAAGCAATTTACTTTTGCTCTGGAATTTTGCGTATGTGGTTGATTTGGGGCCCTGAATTTAACTCCTAGCGCTGGTGGGCTGAAAAAAAGTGAAATACAACCATGGCGTAGACCTTTTTTTTCATAATAAGAAAGTTTAGCTACTTTATTGTTACAACAGTAAAAGGTCTTTAGTCGTGTTCTTGCTGTGTTAGAATCAGTGCTTCCATTTCCATAGTGGACTCCTAGTTTTCAATACAAACTTCGTTTCTCTCTCTTCCTAAAAATATCTAGAGACGAGTATCAGTCATTTGTTTTGAAGCGGTTAACAAACAAGTGAGGTATAAAACCAGAGATTGTTGTCAATATTTTTAAATGTAATGTGGAGGGCCCCTGGGTGGCTCAGGCGGTTAAGCGTCGCCTTTGGCTCAGATCATGATCCCAGGGTTCTGGGATTGAGTCCAGCGTCAGGCTCCCTGCTTCTCCCTCTTCCTCTGCCTGCCATGCCCCCTGCTTGTGCTCCCTGGCTCTCTCACTGTCTCTCTGACAAATAAATAAATAAATAAATAAATAAATAAATAAATAAATAAATAATCTTTTTAAAAAATGTCATGTTGTGGTTGTTGGGTAGGTCAAGTACTGAATCCATACTTTAAAATGCTGTCTATATATTCTCATTTCTGGGAAACAAGCACGTCTTTGTTACTCAAAATGGACTACATTTCCAACTCTTTTGCAATTAGTAGCAACTTTTCTTGAGCGCACTTCAGCAGTAGACAAGAATCCTGAAAATGTTTTAAGAGGAGTCTTTCTACATTTTGCTAAGCACAATGCATATTGAACCTGGCTCTGAAATGCAGGAGCTATTTAGGATTGCATCTATGGCTAGCTGGGGTCAAGGGTTGGGTGAAAAGAGCACTGGGTATGGGTACTTTCTCTGCTACAGCTTGCCCTCCCTTTGCTGTTGTATTCCATTGACACCCTTTGAAGAGCAGAGTGGAATTAACCATCGGGAGTGCTTTAGTGTATCTTTGTGGTTCTCAGCTACCAGTCAGTGGGGAGTAGTGCTTGCTCAGCTGCAGAAGAATCACCCAGGAAGTTTGGCAAAAGCACAGATAACTTCTCTGTTCCCTCTCTCCTTTTTCCCACTTGGTCTGGGATGGTGCCTGGGAGTTAAAGGTCTCCAGTAGACAGGTATGGGAATGATTGCCCAAGAGCTTTCTGACCAGGTGTCCAGGTCGAGAATGCTATAAACCGATGGAATTTCAGTATAGAAGCTACCACCACAGATCCCATGATTTTTCTCTCCAAATTTACAGGAGTGACTGTGTATGCAACAAAATGTGAGCTGCAGCCTTTGGAGTGATTTCTGCGGCCTTGGCAGTGGTGAGCGGTTTTGGCCTGATGTTGGACATTGGGGTGCCATTTGTGATCCTAGTTGCAAATTCACCGTTTCTTATTCTGGGTGAGTAAAACAAAACGTTGAGACTACACATTGTAAATGTGGGGGTGCAGAGTAGATAAGGGAAGGAGTTTAGGTTAGATTAAGCAAAATAATTATATTTAAGTGGCTCTATAGATCCAAAATGAGGTGACAGGTAAAAAGAAAGTCAAATTGAATATTATGTGTCCTTAGAGGTAGAGAAGCCTAGTACCCCAGATGGGAAAACACAGACAAGGGACATGAACAGGTGGTTCACACCCCAAAAGTCCGAAATATGAATCCCCGGAGATATAAGAAAAAAATAATTTCCTCTCTCAATTAACTGAGGGATGAAAATTAAACCAAAAGTGAGACACCTTGTTTTCTTACCAGATTAATAAATGTCAGCAAGATTGAAGGAAGGTTGTATGGAAATGAACACTCATTCCGCTACGGGACAATGATAAACTGGTACACCCTTCTGTTAGTCCAGTTTTGCAACAAATCAAAAGACTTAAAAATTAAACAGGGAATGCCTTTGGCTTACTGATGCCACTTCTAGGCATTTGTCCTAGTAATTGGACAAGTGCTTAAAAAGTAGAAAAATTATGTTCATTTTGGCATTACGTAGAACAGGAAGGTTTTGAAAACCATCTAATCCCCTATCGACATGGGATTGGGCAACTCAAATGTAACATATTAAGATTTTGAATCCTATTCAGTCCTTAGAAAGAGGTAGATTTATAAGTTCTATAAGGTACATATAAGACCTAAAACCTCTGCCAGAAAAATGCCGGTTATGAAACAAGGTGTTCGAAATAGAGAGATACAGTTGTACAGGAGTATTTGTACAGGACAAATTCTGGATGGAGATATGTAAAAATGAAGGGTGGAATTACAGTTGCTCAAATTTTTTCTCTGTATTTTCCTGTACTTTCAGAATTTATAATAAGCATGAGAAAACAAAGGTGTTTATATTTGAGGAAGCAAGGAACTTGGAAGTAGTAGTATTTGGTTTCCCAGGGGAGACAGTGATGAGCTGTATACTGGATGTCTAGTCCACAGCTATACTTAGTCACTCAGTACCCCCCACAGCCAATAACAACTATGGTTAAGGTGTATATAATTGATTTAATGTAAACCAGGATTGGATAGTATGTGTATTCACGGGAGT